TCAATATATCTGGTGAAAGTAAAAATAATAAATACATATTTAAATATTGATGCAATACAAAATAATTCATTAAATAAAAAATGGCTTATAAATATGGAAAGAACAATACACAGCACATACCTCGTGTGTTGTCTTTCAAAGGATTAAAAATATTAAATTATCTGATCAAACGAAATAGCACTTTTGAAACTAAATATTCTATCTTGAACATATAGAGTGTCCTTTCAAAAATTAATTAAAAATAAAAAAAGATATTTTCACTTACGGTTTCTTACGTTCCATGAGTAAGTGGATATTAACGTCGCACAATTAAGCTATACACGTTTACGTTTCATAAAGATAAGATTAAAGGTTTTCTTTATATGAAAACAAACTAGTCCTAGTTTTGAAATGTACTCGTTGCAAAATGCTGCACTACAAGAACAAACGCAAGCTGTAGAAGGCTTTATCAAATTTAAATCTGCGACAAAGTGCAGTGTAAATGGGGCACCAGCACACTAGAGGTTGGATGTGAGAAAGAGTTCTCCTGGGGCAGTGTAGATGGGAAGAGGAAGTCCAATACCGGTTAGATATCTAAACACAACACCTTTGATCTTTTTTTGCAGGGATAAATGACCAACATTGTATACCAATCTCCAATTCATAACAACGATTAATTAAAACGTCGAATTATAGCATCCATTCAGGACGTTGATTCTATAATGCTTCAGAGAACGAGTCCAGAAATGTATATATTCTACATTTTTGTATCCAACTATTAAACACACATTGAAATCGTAAAATAAAATATTGTAAAAAAAAAACTTTGGTAATTTCTTTATGGAACATAAGCAACCGTAAATGAATATCTTTGCTAATTTATTCTTAATTGATATATATATTTTTAATTAACGAATAAGGCTAATTTTTTATGCAGTCAATGTGGCCACTCAATCATGTGAAAACGTTGAAGTTAGATTGTTTCACCAAATTTATAGAATCCTAAAATGTTTCGTAGTTCAATTGTATCGTAAGAACAGTCTTAATCGCCAATTGTACATTTTGGAGTTTTGTAGAAATCTCAGGTATAAAAAATGAGTAATGCTTACTTAATCTAAATATTAAAAAAATGACGGAAGAATACAATAACTTATCTTTTCCATATCAACATTTCCAAATTGGACTCTACTTTTTGAAGAGCAGCATGGAATTTTAGGCAGTGAGTATTTTTTCAAATATATTTTTTAAATTTTATATCTAATTTTTTATTTGAAATTTTAAAAAGTATTAATATTATATTAGATATTTAAAAGGGAAACATTTTTTCGCCAACTAATACATTATTCAGTAGACAGTAATTTTCTCGAGAATGAGGTCAAACTGCCCTTCTGAAATTCTATAGGTCGATGATTCTAATAATAGATTCAGTAAACCGAACCAACCCATGAGGGCTTCTATTAACTACGTAATTTAATTCTGATTAGTAGGTGAGGCCAAAATATTTTGGATCGTTACGTGGGAGATTAAATAATATTTTCCTTCATACATGAAATGCGTATTTATACCTGTGGAAAATTCATATGAAGTGTGAGAATTCTTACTTATTTTTGATATTATTGTTTTATATTTGTATACTTTTCTACAATAAAAAACTTCATCATCATTGTTAAAAAAATTCTTTTAGAATGCATGTTATACATTTCCTTGAAATTGGCAATAATGGTATAGAGAGTTTTGTAAATATATTCTCTTCTTTAATAAATAATGATCGTTGAAAAAAATTAAACTTTATAGCCCTGAGGTAACGGATTAGCTATTCACTTTCATTTATTCTCCAAATGATGGTTTAGTTATGAATAGTTTGTAAATCTATGTATTTAAAAATGGATGTTTGTATACATGACCTCGCTTCACTCTAACACCGTTCAACCGATCGCTATGAAAATATACATGTATATGTATTTATTTGTGGAGAAGATTTTTTTTTCGCTGCCCTCTTTGTTACAGCTGCCCACCAGGTGGCGCTACAGCATATCAACTTCTGCACCGTTCAATCAATCACCAACATTTCGTTATATTTCCATTGAATCGCCATTATAATTTAAGGAACGGCATTGTGTGCTTGCGAATCTTGCAATTTTAACATAAAAATACACAACAGAAAGTAATACTAATGTATTACACATCCAGATATAAATTTTTTACTCTATTTTAAGCGTTCATTACACAAAATTTGTAAGAAGGTGCTGTTTTTGGTAAGCAGAGATCAGCTTTGGAAAGTGTTTTCAAAAATCGACCCACAAGAGAGTTACAGGGCGCTATGAATAAAAAAAATCCTTTTTATCAGCTATTAGATCTACAGACTTAACATTTAACAAATATGATTTTTTTGTTTACAGCTGAGATATGCAAAAAGCTTTATTTGTTTAATTTGCAATTCACGTAAAATTAAAAACTTCTTTATCATTCAATCGGTATTGTTTAATTTTTCAATTCACTCGTGCGAAGAAGGTTTATACCAGCTCGTACGATAATAAAATAAATATATAAATACAGGTGCTACAAATTAGTTGGGCAATTTAGCAGGAAGATCTTCCTAAATATTAAATGAAATTAACCGGCTTTAAGTATAATGATGTTAATACTTATAATAGTAATATGAACTTGAATTATAATAATATAAACTTGAAAAAAATGTCCCGATATATGGAATGCAATATAGATTAGAAATATCCCAATGAAGACACTTTCATCGCAGGTTCAAATCCTCCTTTTATTTTCAGTCTACAGCAGCATAAGAACAGGATTAAATAAAACAAGACACACATTCACTCAACAATAAGACGTCTTCACACTTACTATCTTACTGACTAACTAACTAACCTACTAACTGTCCAAGTAGAAATTAACTGTCTGAGGGCAGCATAGCTCTCTCAATCAGTTACTACGTTATCCTTTCGGTTACAGTTATAAACAGTTACTACGTAATCCTTTTGATTACAGTTAAAAACACAGTCTGTTACAAACTTAAATTATAATAATATAAACTTAGGATAAATAGTAATATATCTTTTTTCATAGAAGACATTATCTTTTAGCGAGCGGCAATCATTCTTCATTTGGCATTAAGATAGTGGAGAAGTACAATGGTTTTGATAAAGTGAAATGCTGTTTTCTGTTCCATGAAAATCATTCTGCTGTTTAAGTGCGACAAATATTTATTTTGAGAATACAAGAAAAAACCTCCGAAAAGATATATTATTGTGGCATGGTATTTACCTGGACATGCTGCAGTTTTACCTTATGCCTATCATCAAAGAAAATTCCAGGAAGTTACATTTTTCAATAGGATGGCGCACCTTATCAACACCACACGACGTTTCATCTTACCTCTATGGCTGAGGTGGCAGTTTGGATTAGTCGTGAAGGTTTTATTCAATGACCACCTGATCACCATAACTTTCAGCGCTGCTTTTAAGCTTATGGGGATATGTAAAGGATAAAATATATCTTGCATCTAAAGTGTAGATGCATTTCTTGCATCTATTCTTGAACTAAAATCAAGAATCAGTAGAGTAATTAATTTGAGCGATGGAAATATGCCAACAACTCTGGTAAGAACCGATTTACCAATTGGATTTTTGAAGAGTAATGAAAGGAAACCCATCAAACTTTTGTGATAATGCTAAACTTGGACTATTTCTCAGTCTTACAACAATATGTACTTATATTTTCCACTGTAAATTACATACAATAATTTTTTTTTACCCAACTAATTAGTAGACACCCTATATTGTGAATATATATTGTTACGAATTTTGTAAAATAGTGTAAATAATCTATATTCGGATGTGTAACGCATTTATATTACTCTATATTATATTTATTTTATGTTAAAGTTGCAAAATATATTCACAAGAAACGCCGTCTCTTATGTTATAATGACGATTCAGTAAGAACTTGGCAAAATCTTAGCGATAGAGGAAAGTTGGCAAGTCATTTTTGGCGATCGATTTGGCTATATTGGCGACCATGCTGACGAGTTCAGGACTATCTAGATTCTTCTAGAAATTGATCGAGAAATCCACTAATTTCATGATTTATGACGCAAGCGGATCTTTCTCGAAGTTTCCGCCGGGTCTAGAACAAAAAAAGTGATACTCGCCGAAACGAGTCAGTCTTGTTTCAACCAGCGATTAGTGAGAATTGTTTTGAGTAGTGATTAGTAAAATTGCCTTGACTGTGATTAGCTCGGCTGTGCTTGTGATAATAATTTACATATGTGTATTTTAGATAATGATATTTGCATCCGAGTGCTGTTGAAGGTGTGAAGACCTTCGGAGATTTATTCTGCGAATATTGCTGCTGCATCCTGTATTTCAAGGATTGTTTCTTGCGACAGTAAAATCTCATCGTTTTTTTTAAAAAAATGTATTGTCTTGTACTCTTTTGTATAAAATCCTCTAACCCCTCAACGTAACAATATTTGCCGAACATTTACCATGGTTATCCGGTAGACTTCTTAGTATATATACGCATTATTAAAATATATATTTATCTATTATTTTTAAATAGGATTACTTTATTTACTATCTAATCAAAGTCATATTAAAAACATTGTATACTTTAAGTTCATGTTTTAATTACCTTTCTATTGTTTATTTCATACATACAGGAAAATGTTAAAATCTTACTTATTTCAATGAAGATTCAAAGCATATTAAGGTAACAATAATATAAAAAAAATTAAGTCAATTCCTACTTAGGTTAACAAAGAAAATTTTTATTTTAATTACTTTTTATTAAATAATTACAATTAATATAAATATGTATATACAAATGAAAGAATCACCATATTATAAGTGGCACAATAGAAAACAATTTTCCTTGCAATTTTCCATTTTCCGTTCTATATATGGTGTTGGAAAATTATTTTTGTTCGCTACTATTTATTAATTAATTAAATTTAATTATTCCAATAAAATAGTAGAGTAAAAAAATCACATTCTCTGTAATTAGGCTATCCCAGGTGGGATTCGGACCCACGCTCTTTGTAGTAGTAGTCCAACGCGCTATCTTCTGCGCTTCAGGGAGACAGCGAGCAATTTTCCTTTTTATATATGGTGTTGGACTATTATTTTTGTTTGTAACTATTTATTCATTACTTAAATTTAATTAATGAATTCATGTTTGAAAAAACCGTGTATTTTAACATCAAGCGTCATCCCCTAATCCACTACAAGTTTAAAAACATGTATTTGAATTTGAGTAAACAAATAAAAAGAACTTTCTTAACGATTGAAAATATTCGTGAACACAAGATATATATATATATAGTGAAAGAGTGTGAACTAATAGTCGGAATTGAAAAATCAGAAACGTTTTAGCGAAATATTCATTTTAGAATATATATGGAGAAATGTTTCAATTGCTATGGTAAAAATGCATCTATATTTAGATTATGATTTCAGATATTAACTAATTCATTCACCACGTAAATATTTTAATAGACTATAAAATGAAGTTTAAAGTAAATTATAAAAAGTAAAGGAACTTCGGGAATTCCGTTTATGAGTGATAAATTATGTAATTGGTACAAAATATAGTAAAGTTATTGAAATAGTTTAGAGGAAATGAAGTCATCTTTCAAAATAAATCAAATTAAGTAATTTTAAAAAAAATTCAATTTGTGTCTAAGGAATTATAAATAATATTGTTTCTAGGATGCTACTTAATACTATTTTTACGAACTACAACCTTCTAGATGATAAATAAATATACATCACTTAATTATTATCGTATCAGTTCTACTCGCAGTACTGCTGATTTATAAATAAAAAGCTAATAAATCTGTACAAGTTTGCCTAATTTGGATTATTTCATTTAATTTTGGTTTTTTATTTAAAATATCTTTCCCCCGTTTGGAGAATGGGACGCATAAATCTAATCAATTTTTTGTCTGTAAAACTTCTTTAATTTGATTACTTAAAGAGAATGGTAACATCTAACTTTGAAATTAACAGTACTTTGAAACTAATATCCCATCACGATTCTTTTATCTTATGCTTATGGAACTAAATCGGACATGTTTCCATCAGTGCTCAGATAAGACTACATTTGACAGTTTCTATCTAGCATTAGATTGGAGATAATGATAGGGAAAAAGCAATTTTCCACCTCCATCCATCTTTCTAACAGCTCTGTCGGCCAGTAATTTGTGACGACTTCCTTATCATTTTGCCGCCAAGTAAGGCAGGCAGAATGATGTTGGCAGAAACATTTATTTTTTCATGTTACTTCTCTTTGTGTGATTTTCTGAATACTTTTTTTACGGGGAAGAAATCATGTATGAAAAAAATTCCTATTTTAATTTCCGGAAAATGAATTTTGAATTTTTAAATGACCATTTATGTGTGTGACTAGCTTTCATATTTCGTATTATGTTTAGTTCAGTATTTTATGATTTCTTTGCGAAATGTGTGAATCAATCAATCAGCTTGAAATGAATTATTTACTGAAATAATTTAAAATATGAAACAGAATAATTTAAAGTATGAATTAGAATATGTTAAAATATGAAATGGAATAAGTTAAAATATGAATTGGAGTAAGTTAAAATATGAACTGAAATAAGTTAAAATATTAATTAGAATAAGTTAAAATATTAATTGGAATGTTAAAAAATCAATTATTATTTATTGAGTTAATGTACTGAACACATTCGTAGAAATTTTTTAAAAAATATAGCGTACTAAAACATTATAAATGCTTTTTTATGAATCAATACTAATAAATACTAATATTTAGCTAATAATATTTTTAAAAAATCAAAATTTTACAAAAATCTCAATTATAAGGGAAATTTTAGCAATACTTTTGAAAACATTCAAAGCAATTAGAGGCAAAAGTAATAAACATAAAGCAGTAAAAATATTACTAAAACAAAATACATGCATTATCTTGAGAATGTACTAAAATTTTCATGTTTCATTAAAATTTGAAAATTTTAAAGCTGATCGATTTAGTATTATAAGAAATGTGACATTCTTCACATGAGAACATTATGTAAACAACAGGTCACAACTCAAAAAATATCCATACAATAAGAAATATTTTAGTAAATGATCTAGAAAGTTTTATAGAAACATATTTATATTGTTTTGAGTAATCATACTAGCCATGATAGATTTGAGCAATTTAAAAATGTCCACTTCTGTTAGACCCACTTCCTCATTTTTTCTAATTTTATAAAATTATTTGTAACTTAGTTTCTTGGTAACGTAGAAACAACACAAAAGTATGTTTTGTAAAGCCAAAAGATAGCTCTATTCAATGAAACAAAAAAATAAAACAAATATATGTGTTTTGCCCGAATTTGGTTATTACAATGGATACATTAAAATAAATTAAATGCTGAATAACATTTAGCTTACGTATATTGCATTGTTCAATATATCAGGTTTACCATTTAATGAAAATGAGTGATGACTTTTTAAAATGATTACAAGCAGTTTTTCTAACCGATTAGTTGATAGAACTACGAATGTCTTGAAATTTATGAAAAAATCCATTGTTTTTTAAAAATAAAGTTTATCTCTTTCTTGATTAGCATCTTTCGCAAATAATTGTTTCATTAAACTGCCAATAATTACATATTCTGCATATTACAAGTTCTGTAAAGTTTTATTGTCGAGTAATATCTATATTATTAAATGAATTAAAGACTAACAGTCAAGTATTTTTCAACAGTTTAAAACGTAGTTTCAGATATGTTTCGACTTTTCTTGGAATGTGCATAGCGATTTGCAAAACACGTATAGTAAATAAATTAAGATTATTGAAACTATATATGACTTGATATGGTCATGATGGTCATGACTTGATATGTACCTATAAGACTGTACACTTAACGAAAAGTACCCTGAAATAAGTAAATGGGATAAAAGCTAAAGTGATAAAAATATGTGCCGAAAAAACACATCTATTTATCAAATACAAAAAAAAAAAATCTATAGTTATTAAAGTGATTATACTTAACTAACATTTAAGTACAATTTTAGTACTTAAACAAAGTTTTATGAGTAAAAATTCAGAATTTTTCTAAATAAATTAAAAACTCATTTTTTATATAATGTGTCTGTTATATATATATACTCACGTGCATGTATGTGTGTGTGCATATATACAGTAGAACCTGTTTTTGTACAGGCCTTCTTTATGCGATCTTTTTCATGCGGTATATGAGCTTTAACGGTTTTGGCGCCATTGTAATGTTTTCTATCAGTGTACGTATATACACTTCAATACGCTCTGTTCATTGGATATAAACAGTTTTTCGACAATGCCCATTCAATTGCTTTCTCTCAACGCAATAGTAGCACATCTTGATTTCACACGAAACTTTCTATGACAATGGCATTATCAATAATTTGATACACGGACAAGAAGAAAAGGATTTTTTGAGAGCGTATTAAATATATGAAGGGATCTAGCTTTCCAATAAATCGAAAAAGCATTTTCTTAAAATAGATACCAATTCCGAAAGCAGTTTGAAATTCCAAAAAAGAGCTTCGATCTCGTATATTTGTGGTTATCGTGATTTTCACACAAGCCAACCGAGAGTCGTGGCAAAAAAATTATAACTTACTTTATGGTGCCAAAAAATAAATCAATCGAAATTGTATCTTCAAGTGACGAAAGTGAGTTTGAACTAATTCATCACAGGAAGCTTCGCACTTTGGATTACTATGAGCAGCAGTGAATTGTGTACGTGGATTTTGAAAATTTCTCCATGTATATAATGAGAAATTAAATGTTTTTAAAATGTCTCCATGTGGAATTAATTTGTTTGGAATTATTTTTTTCATAAATTTCGTAACTAATTGGCATCATTTTTAAATGCGACTTTTTTATACGGTCCGTGCCCCCCGGATAAAAAAATTCTACTATATGTCGACATAGTTGTTAGTTACTTGGAAGTATTTATGAGATTTGGCATATTTTTTGTTCTACTTCTTTTTTACGGTCCTACTACCGCACAAAACAGGTTTTAGTCTATAACTGATATCTACATTAAAAACATTGTTACTATTTAAATTTCATTTTAAATTTTCTATCATGTTAATACATTGAATACTTTACATTTACCTAATTATAAGTTATTAAAAAATATTCTCTTTTAATTATAAGTAATCGGAACAGTGTAATGTTTTTTCTTTTAAATTATAAATGATGTCAGTGATCAAAACAATGTTTAATTACAGTTTGAGTAATTGAGTGAGTAAATATTAAGTCGCACTGTACAGTTATACAAGGGCTTTTGGCGAGGGACCTCGTAATTTTGAACCATGGCCAAGCAACGAGGACGACATCTGAACTGAGAACCCCCCCCCTCTCCTAATTACCACACCAACGGGAGGACGTTTGATCTTTTGACAATTTACCGTGCATCGCTTCCTACACTGCGGTTCTTTAATGGTGCTAGGCTCGAACTCATGATATGCCTGTTATGATTCGATACTTTAACCACTAGGCTTACGCGGCTTTTAATTACAGTTTGAAGGGAGCATATGTTGAAATGTAAAAATTAAAAGAAACTTTGGTATTCGTGCAACTATCAATTTAATTTTTTTCAAACGAATTATAAAATTAATGAATCTTTAATTCGTAAATTTATAGTGCATAATTTTAATATTTTGCTGCAGAGTGAAAAACAAAGCACTACTTTTATAAAATATATTCAACAAACTCTGTAATAAAATCCTAGAATAATATGCATTGTTTTAATATCATCATAAACTAATA